GTTTCGTTGCAGATGGCAACGGTTCAGGTAATAAGACTTTAATCTTTTGTTACGACTGGGATAAGTCGAGCTATCTCTGTCTGAATAGACAATCGGCAGAATGCCAGATAGACGTAAGTCTGCTCTCGATTGAGAGATCAAGGGTTCTGGCTAAGGCGAGTGTCGCTGACTCCCTTAGAATAGTGGTTCTTTAGACAGTAAGGTTGGAGACCTTACTGAAGGACAATGTTCCAGGTAAAACCCAGTAGATTAAAGTAGAGAATACAACTGTAGGTATGTAGGTTTATATACCAGTGTTCAAGCGGAGCTTGTAAATGCGTTATCAAGATAGAAGCAAGAAAGAAGGCGGACAGCCCGCTTGGCGAGATAAGAGTCAAAATAAGAGATAGGCATGATAGGAGATAAGCGTGGTACGGACGGCCCGTTTAAGAAGCAAAGGAAAATGAGTATAGGGGCCTCTCTAAATGTTATTGTAACAGTAAGTGCAGGAGGTGTGGGAGGCCGAGATACAGGGATTACCGGTGCTGACTGAGACAAGCAAATACCAGGGCTCAGAATGCCTTGGAACGTGTCTTTGGACGACAAGCTGCATGCACTGCAAGGTACGATGCTGCATGGGGGGCATTAAATATCCTGGCGCAACAACTTGGAAAGGTGGGGTGGCAGAGAGGACTTCGGTCGCTGCACCCTGATGATATACGACCACTGATTGATCTGGATATCATGCCCGGGCAAGGGAGAAGGAAGCTGACGTGGATTTGGACCATGAGTGGCGTGGATAGTAGCGGAGATGGGACAGATGAAGATGGTGAGTTCCAATGTTCATGATCGTGGGAGAAACTAACCAACATTTTAGGCGTGAGGGTGGAATGGTGCAAGGCACGAGCTTGCGCGATGCGATGGGCCGAGGAGGTCGAGCTCCTCCATGAGGAAATGCGATGCGTGCTCAAATTTTTTGAGTGGCAGGCCAACTGGTGGGTTGAGCAGGGAGATCGGCGTACTGAGGTGGATGTAGAGTGTGTTGAGGGCATCCGAGCTTATGCTACCAAGCAGGCGAGCATTCGCCGTGCATTTATTGATCATTTCCAGACCTTATGGTCTCCCTTTTTATCGTCCGACGGCACAACTCTCTCAAACGTAGACTCGGATTATACTGCTGAGCTCCCGGATCTCTCAGCGCCGCCTCTCCCTCAGATGTAATGTACAATGTGTCTATTTTGCACAGAATATATGTCTATTTTTCTCGGACAGGATACAGTGCGTGATGGGTGTGCGGTGTTGGTACCTTAGATTGACAGCTAATGCGGGGAAATGCTTCTCCCGCCACCTTCCATCACCTTCCAAGTACCTATGAGGGTGAGGTGCTTCTGGTACTCCCGTCATCGCGGCGCCTTCCGAATTGGGTCAGTCAAAGACCATGTGAACTAGCTTTTGAAAGCCGGAGACAGGTACTGGGTGCGGAGTGTCTTATGGGTAGCTGTCTTACAACTACAATGATTTGATGGATGATTAAGTCTTACAATAGTAACTGGTCATGCATCACCATTATCTTACAATCACAAGACTTAATGCATGATCACCCCAGGGTGTTGTGTGATACTGCACATGTTGAGCGCTTTGATGCTTGGAGTTCCCGTCAAAAAAGACACGCTGTCTTACTAGGATGTGAAAACAGTAAAATTCACCAATTTTCAGTATCCTACCACGGTCAACGGTTCAGACAAATACCAACAGTCGATAACGTGGTTGTTCGTGGGAAAAAGTGTGTTGAGTTTTCAAAGGAATGACTCAGTGACTAAAGGGGGGAAGCAGAATCAGTAACTGGCTTGATGCAGTGCTATGATCCTAAAGAAAGTCAATAACTGGCGTGATGCAGTGCTATGACTTCAACAAATACAGATGGATGTCTATGCAATGATTCTCAGAGCTATATCAATACTCCTTACCTTCACAAACCAATTGGAGATCAAACTAAGCCTCTAACACGGATTAGCCCAAACTAATATGTGGCTTCGAAACCTACTCTCTGCTGCTCAGGCACTACACGATGAGTTTGACGCAGGACAGAACAGAGTACACCCTATTGATGTAGTCTTAAGTGGGCCAAGTTCTTAATATTAGTGACTGACTGTTAGTCTTATTTGTCTTCCCTTGCTAATGAAAATACGTATATTCTCCCCACAGAATTGATTTCCTGTGTCTGAAAGAGAACTGGAATATATCTGCACTAGATGACTGATAACCGTGTACCAGCTAATGTAAAATGTATGGCTCAATGGTGGCCTCAAATATGCCTCTGTATGTCGTGGGAAACAGTATCAAAAAGTGGAATGAAATAAGCTAATATTTCACTCAGTGTGTCACTCAGTAATCTTTGAGGTGAAAATTTAAAAAGAGCCTTATGGTCACTCTTCTTATCTTTCACTCACTCTTTCACTCTCAAACTTAGATGATACTTGGAAATGGGCTCTGAGATGGAGCTCTCTCTATTAAAAGGGAAAATGGACCCCTTATATACTACTCTACTAGTGGCTGTGCTACTGATTACTAATCTACTACTAAAGTGTCAAAGAATGCCATAGAATGTTCCAGATTATTCTACTAAATTCCAGTATTGCTTTCAAATCAACATTTAGTGGCTGTGCTCTGTGGCTATGCTAACCTGTGCTAGCAAGCTGTGTACACTGCCTCTGCACTGCCTGAATGCTGTACTCCAAAGCTGTGTTCAAACTTTGTTGAAATTCTTGCAGTCTAATGTTAACTTGTTAAATACCACAGTGTTGGTCTTGCATATTTGTCATAATGAAGTCTCTGCATGGTTTCCTAATGTGTCACCAAGTCACATGAGTCCGATTATGTAATGAGGTATGAAGTCTTTCAGGTCTTTCCTCTGAGTATTGTGAAAAACGAGAGGCTCGCGTAGAAAATTGAAAGGCTCGCGTAAAAGCAAACATGTTCAAGATGTGACACAAAACATACCAATTATGTAATATAATGTCAGGATATGTCACAAAGTATGTTCCAGAACATGTGAAAATGTGTGAGAAAATTATAGGAAGTGTGAGAAATTGCTGACTAAGTGAAGAATTGTGCGTTTGAAACCGATCTTTCATAAGGATAAGTATTATTCTGAATGTTAAGTAGTGATGCACTCATTTTTGAATCCAAAATTACTCAAATAAAATATGGGTGCTACACAGAAAATTCTAGATAGCATCATGGGCTATTATAAAGAGTACTACAACTAAATATTTGCCATGTTCATGTACAAAACAAGTTTTGTGCATGTCAACGCTTGGCTACAATGCATGTTGCTGTGAAAATGGAGGGCTGCGAAGTTGGCGATTTAGGCATATATGAAGCGGTATGCAAAAGAGCCGGGTGGCATGTCTTGAAGCTTCCACTGTGTCACGAGGGGCATAGCTAGAGAAATCAGATCACAGTTTACGAGTCATATGTACAGCAAGAGAGCCATGCTCACCACCCAGAGTTTTTACAGTATCACAATACCACCCACAAATAAGGCGGGGGTTACGATCAGTCCACCAAATCTTAAGCCACAGTACATGTCCCAAAAATGGCTCAATTGCAACATGAAGATAGAGTTGAAAGTGTCGCTATTTGTCATGCTGATCAAATACCCAGATATCGTTGACACCCGCTGTCCAGTAAATACTTCTCTTCAGGCGCTGACTCTTGTGCGCTTGAATATCTTGAGGATGATGAAGATTCATGTAGCGAAGAATTAACTTTCTGTACAAAACCTCTATCACAATTAGGGATCTGCACGGGTACGGGTAACCCGCGCGGGTCACGGGTACGGGTACTACTGGGGTACGGGTACGGGTCGGGATTCTAAGACCTGCGCTCTTACCCATACCCCAGCTATACCCGTGCCTTCCATAAATGGTAGCACCTCCTGCATCAGTAATAGCGGACGCCATACTTCCCGCGTGCACGCTACAACCAGCACCACCACCAACACCAGCACCTAACGCGCCTTCCCAAGTCCACCAACTCCACGTTCACAGCGCGCGCGCCCGAAACGCGTCAACAAGTGTTGACGCGATGCAAACACACGCGGACGACACGCGAAGACGAAAGGACAAGAGAATCGAGGAAGGGAGAAGGGATGGTATAGAGATGAAGGAGGAAAGAGGAACTCGACGAGACGAGACTTTGGGCACGCTGAAAGTGAGTACTCACATTGAAGACTCTACCCCCAGCAACAACAACGACGTCATACGCGTCACATCGCCAGCGCCTATCTTTGTGCGCCCAGCACTCGCACCACCACCAGCTTTCACGCCAACGCCACCATCCACAACGCCAACGCCACCATCCTCGACCGTGCCTCCACTCCTCCTTCTTGTGCCATCCACATATGTTCGAGTCACATCAGCATTCGCTGACGTGTGCTGGACATATGTGCTAAGCACTGGTGGTGATACCTATGGTACCCGCGGGTAAACCCTGCACAGGTGCAGGTACGGGTCTGAGCTTGTTGTACCCGCCGAAAACCCGTACCCGTCAGAGCAGGTACGGGTTTTTGCCGGGTGCGGGTGCGGGTCAGGTCCCCGACACCCCAGGGTATACCCGTGCGGATCCCTAATCACAATACAGAAATGCGACCAAAAAGACAGTGCACCTCGAAACAATCATCTTCTCTTCATGCATGAGAGTAAGTCTCATATCATGCGAACCTTGCTCGGGAAAGCGTGCTCATACACGCTCAATTGCCGTTCCTATGCTTGTGATGGTGTGGGCTTGTCAACGTGCAGATTTCAGTCCCCACTGAGAGCGCCGTTTTTTCAGGAGGTCGATCCTATGAATGGGGAAGATATGTGAACTTGAAGTGTGCTTTTAACTGGGAAGAAAACGGACAACTCACGAAACATTATACATATCAGTATTGTAGTACTTGCGCAGCCGAGTTACAATCTCAGTGTTACTGTACCCTTTTGCGACAAAATCCTCAATGATTGGTCTGATGAGGGCATCAGGAGCTGTTGAATGAGATATATCAGTTGCAGGTAAAGTACAAGTGTATACCTGCTACTCACGAGCAGGAACTCGACCATTGTGTCCAAGTGCGTTCGGCATCTGTCTGGAGGGAGCAAGGTAAGCAACTAGAGAGGAAGTTTTTAAACACCTTTTGAAGGGAGACAAGACTTCGTCCGCGGGTTTAAAGTTCTCGGCTGAGACACGTACCACAGACGAGGATCCAGCGCAGTTAAGCCAAGCATCTGTTCGATAGGAGTTGCCGACAATCGCGCAGTGTTGTCGTGCATAACTCACCTGTGACATATGCTCTATTAGGATATACAATGATAAATATAAGACATACAACGATAAATATAGCGGACTGTGAAAAATGTACGCGGCATAACAGCAAATCGAACCGTCACCAAAGATCCACCATAAATTCTATATAGTTGTCCAATTGATAATCGGTGAGGTTGGTGAAGTCGTTGTTCGTGCGTAAAGGCGGCAATTCGAACTATCGAGAACGTGTCATTAATGTGAACAAGAGACGATAAACATACTAACGTGCTCCGGGTCTTTATCCTCACGGTCCCATGAGATCGGAATCTGGTCGTACAATTGTAAGTCGTTGAAAGGATGGTTCTTGTCATATTGTTAACATGAGCAATTGTTATCAAAGTATCGAAACTATCACACCCAGTGCGTACTTTCAACCGGTGACTGCTTGGGGTAGCCGGACCTCTGTCGACACTCACTTACTTGGGAATCAGAGTCGAGCCATCGCTCCAGACCGTGAATCCCGGAATTATCCACCACCCGAACCAGTGTTTCATTCATCTGGTCGAGCCTTCTAAGGATGGGTTCAACGGCCGAGATCACATGAGACTCTACATTTCCACCTGTCCCAGCCGTGGCTGCACTACACACCTTGTGTAGATACAGCTGCGCTTTCGCGAGGTCGTCAACAGTGGCCACACGGTAGTCCCGGCACAGTTTTCTCTTGAATGCTATGGGCGTTTTATGTATTTAGTGGCTTAGGCCGCTACTGCGGAACACAACTTACAGGGAGGGCTAAAAAACACCTTCACCTTCTCAAGGAAGACAATTGCATGTACGATGTCTTGACTGGTTGGTGGATCTGAAGGAGGCAATGGTCGCTTGATTTGAGATAACGACTTTGAGAAGAGTGGTACTTGGATCAACATTGTTACTGAGAGGAGACTTGGTTAGGAGGTTATATACATACACTGAGTGAAGCAAATGGTCCTGCTTATCAAAGCGGACTGTGCATTTTGTACTGATTCATCATGGTAGTGAAAGAACAGAGCTGAGCGCACACTGAATCCCAATTAAACGTGCGCGTGAATGTAGCATCTATCATAAGCATCCTTCATTGTCCGATAGCAGTTGACGGTGACGACCAGGCCTAATACATGTTCAATGGCAGGATTGTGTCGTTCGTTTAGTTAGCAGCTGATCACGACTCTTCTTTCTTAGCGATCCTGCAGCAGTCATTGTTGTTAGTTTTGTGCATGCCTCGTGCATATCATATAATGACTGACTGTAACCGTCTACGCTTTGTTCAGCATGTAGATTTCCCAGTTCTGGTGACTCACTAGTCAAGGATGATTCCTCGAGCTGAACAAATGGGTTCCTATAAAATTATTTCGTCGCGCATTCCATCACATCGAACAAGAATTCATACCTTCGTTTTCCAACACCAGGATGCCCTTTCCTGGGTACCGCTGGTCGGTCTGGACAACGTGAGAGCAATACCTTCCCCAGTATTCTCGTGTACTGCCATCGAGATGTTGAAACTCTGGCAGCGGTCAGCAGATGTACAAATATTGTTTCGTTCATAGTGGTTGTGAAACAATTTATGTACCTAGCTTCATCGCAAGCCCATCAGTTCTAAAATTGGGCCGAGGACTAGAGAAATGATATCAAGCCGAGCGGGTTTGTCTCTGTAACTGAGACAAAGACAGAGATAACCAGTAGCGGTATAATTGTTGAGGCACACACGTACTCATCGATGTGTTTCTCTGGTCTTGATCGATGTCTTCTTCTGCGTTGTCCGCCCGGAAGGATCTAAACAAGTGTGATGAGCCCCTCATGCGCCTATGTATACATACTCTGTATCAGCTTATAGAAACTCGAATCAACCCTCAACGCTATCCGAACACTTCTATATCGTTTACATATCCAACATCCCAACGAAAAGGAAAGACATACCTTCCATGTCTGTCTTCTCATTCATTAGCATCCTCGCAAACCTGGTTCTTGAATTCTCCTTTAAGCCTTCAGTCCATCCACCACCGTAGATTGAAAGACGTGCTTCGCCAAAGACGACAAGGAAAACTGCCAGTGCAAACGCTTTGATACCAGAGGCATCAGCATAGGTATTACTAGACAGATCCTCCACGCGCTTTAATTTCAAGGAACACAATTTCTGCATTCTGAGCACTGATCTCCGAGTAATAGAGACGAACGCTACAACATCGGGTCGCGTCCAAAGTCAAACGTGACTGTCTCATCGTCGATTGGGAGTGCTGCCACCTGTTCGTTCATCAGATATAGTGTCCAAAACAGAATGATCTTGTTGCCGTCCATGTCGGGTTCGTTCATATGCATGAAAATTAAAATAATGATGTGTTGAGTAAGTCCAAGGAAGACTTCAAAGTGGTTTGTTCGTTTTGCGTTATGCCACCACACATCGTGCAGGTCATGTGATCGCGTCATCCTGAGTCGATTCTCGAAACAATATTCATGACGATGATCATGGCCAGGCGATGCTACGAGTACTCATAGCATCGCGTGAATACAACTAGAAAATACAAATACAAGTACCACAATCAAGAACTACAAGTGCGCAAAGTGGTCCATCACTGTACGGTGTCCCGTCTGTGACTGCCTTATTTGGGTCATGTCACAGTGAGTAATGGAGCGCGCACGTCCAGCTTTCCATACTTTGCTGTAGGTTCTGTGAGTCTGTACAAACTTGTACAATTCTGTACAAGTTTGTACAGGCACCTACTAGTTTGCTGATGTAGCGACCCGCACAAAAATGTCATGCACATTGATGTGTGGTTCTTGGTCGATCGTATCGCTTTTATTTCCTCATTTTCAGTTGCAAAGATGATCCACTACATTGCATGACTCGGACGTATACAGGAATTTTAATGAGCTGTGCCTGTAAAAATAATAAGTAAAGAACGAATATTCCGACCACTACGCATCCAAAAATATGTTTGAGAAATACCTCTTCACGCCTTCTGCACCATGAACTATCGCCCCAATCACTCCGTCCGGCCGTATCACAAACACCTTCATCTGGCCAGCTTCCACGAGGTAAGTCGAATATGCATAGCCGTCCCGATCAACAAGAACGAGGTCAGGGGATGTGACAGGCGTCACTGATGCCGATGATGGCAGAACGACTGCCGATCGTACAACACTTTTGTCGTATGCCTCCAGTGCACCCAAGATCGGGGTGGCATCAGTGAGACTCGGCGAAAATACAAGCATTGTGTGGTACCAAGGTCTGTACAGACCGAAAAGGGTCGTCGTGTCGAGCTCTGCGCCCCCCACCTGCAACATATTGGGCGCATCAGGCGCCCTATCCCCAGCTTCCAGATGCCCCTCATCAAGCACACCATATGCGTTGATAGGCTTCCTCTCAACTGAAGTAACAAATTCATCGAGTACGATGGTGCTGAATCGGCAGTTGATGCCGAGCATGTAAAGGACGGGACTTCGTCCGGCCGTCAGGTCCCCAGACGCTGTTGCCTTGTCGAGAATCGAGGTGGTCACCTCGAGCATCTCGGAGATCACAGGCAGACGCTCGGCGCTGTATGTCTCGAGAAGAGATTTGTCGGCGAGCCCTTTCTGGACGAGCGCAACCTTCCATCCTAGATTGAACTGGTGTAGGACGCAGTCAGTCATAACACACATGGTGCATCTACCCGACTCACTGCATCTTGCACACCTGAATTGAGTCCCTGTTCATAGACAAATCAGCAACATTCAACAACAATCAGATCAATCATACCTGACCGCCCGTCGGGCTGTGGACACTTGGATGTGTTAGCACCAATTTACAAAGAGGGCACTCAAAGATAGACATACTGAGCAGCATCTACGACGACATGTATGAGTACAGCCACACACATCTCAAACAGAAGTACATACCACCCGCAACGAACACTCGACCCTCGCTAAACTTATTCACCATCCGGATATTGGCCCTGGAACAAACTGATGAACGTGCACCAACACAGACAGGTTCACAAAATGTACCGGAAGTCGCTCATCCAGACCACCTTTTCGAATGTAATCTCCGTTGGTATTAACGACGCGATGGTCTCAAAGACAAGCTCTTCGTTCTCAGCTATCTTCGTGAGATCCAGTTCGCGGCCGTAAAGGAAAAATTGCCAGCCATCCTCGGCAATTTCATCTGTTGCACGCAATGAGAGGCTGCATGTCGTTAATATACACGTCTCCAAGCCTCAAGTGAACATACCCTCGTTTATTAAAGTTTCCAAACCGGTGCCAATGCTTCAAGACTGGTTTAGGATAGCTTTTCATCGAATTTGTAGAAACTAAACGTACCACTCTATCGAGGCCAACACCCGTCAAGCGGATATCCCCAGTCACAATCCGGATATCGTCTCTAGTCTCACCCAAAAATGTGAGTCCAAGTTGCTTGCGTACGACGCCTGCAAAGACACCTTCAGTCTCATTCATTCCGGCGGATTGAACTACGCCTCACTTTTAGCACCGTCAGCGCCGATGATCCACTTGGTATCAAAAGTCTCTGATATGCCGTTCTTTGCTAGAATAGCAGTGACACCCTCGTCGCACTGTTCGAATGAGCGCAGTTCGGTGCCCATCTCAACAGAACAAGAAAATTTCTCTAGATGGCGTCGCAGAATCACATCTAGGAGCTGTTGACCCATCAATTTGGGGCCATGCTAAAAAAAAGTCGAATCAGCATGAAGGTTTGATTAAGCATCGGTGTTACGCACGAATGGTATTGCTGGAGTAGGCTCCAGATGCGGGACCATCGATGAGTCTTTCAAAGGTTCCAACGTCCCAGGCTTGTACGAACGGATGGGAGGGGGTGATTTTCCCAGACTATTGACTTCTGAAACGTCCAGGAAGTTGTAGACCTCGAGGGAGCGTGGCTATATAGAGCATGCATTCAATGAGATCACGGGATGATGCGACAAGTGGATGTGCGACAAACCCATGTTCCAACACCACGTTGTCCGATGCGGGGGTGGTGATCTTTATCGATGATGCGGACCGGGATACCGTTTTGAAGGAGCGTCAACGCTGCTACCAGACCCACTGGCCCAGCACCAACCTAATGGCAAGGAATTCAACTGAGGCGCAAACACGTATCATAAGCACGTCACTTACGACTAGTACGGGAGGATGAACAGAATTCATTTATAACGCTCGAGACACTGGCAGGAGGATTGGTTAGTATGAATTCCAAGGATTTGGATCAGCAGGTCCTTATAACATCATGATGGGGACGAGGCTGGGTGTTGTGGTAATGACTTGTCATTCAGCTGCCGCTGAGCGCTGAGCTGTGTATGACCAGTATCCTTACAAAACAACTTACCGAATTACCGATCAACGATGATTCGAGTCATTCGATATGACTCTTGAGTGACGTTACTCTTATCCATAGTACGGCACTCACTTTTACATACGCAATCACTCCTTGTTTTATGTGACACGTTCACCTTTGATTGATCATAATTCTCCCTCTTGACAATCAGCGTACTTCCCCTCGGACAATGATTAAATCTCCCTAGTAAGACTGAAGTCAGCTGGATCTCTTATTTACGGTTCTACTTACATTTCCCTAACTATTGTGCCTTTCCCGTTTACACATCCCATCAGATGATTTGTCAAAGCGCTCACGAGATACTTCATGACGCTGACTGGACGACTCGCTTATGATTTGTTCGAGTCAATACCGTTGGGAAAATTGGTAGGACAAAATTTACACTCACCAAATACATACAATTGAACACGTTCGTTGGCAGAACACTCGTGACTCGAGGTCGAATTGCCAACTGACGACGACGAAAGAGATAAATCAACAACAAACATGTACAATTTAGACCTGCGTAATCACTCGGCCAATGAGTAAGGTCCTGTTTGGACAGCGAATATTATAATTCAATTCAAAATTCGACCATCATGTGACACTGCACGTGATGTATTTGGTGACCTAGATTCCGCCGACTGTTCCGACTGATTCTGATTATTGATTAACTTAATACTACTGAATTAGATCTTGCACTGCAACCATCACCGCAACTAAGCATGGACCTCGAAGCACAAAGTGACTTGCGTCGGAAACACCTCATTCTTCTTGCGATAACAATCGCTATCGCTCAGATCACCTACTACTACAAGTTGCTACTTACATCCCGCGCTGAAAAAGTGCCATACCACACATCAATCTTAACAGGGAAGGCATGGGTGATTGAACTGATTACTGGTCACCCAGATCGTATCAAACATAATTTTGGCGTCCATCTTGAAGTCTTTGAGAGCTTGGTGCAGACTCTTCACAAGCATGGATTTGTTCAGTCGCGCAATGGCATCTCGGTCGACGAGCAACTTGGTATCTTTCTTTACACATGTGTGACTGGACTTTCATCTCGCCTCGTTGGGGAGAGGTTTCAACACTCTCCAGACACCATAACAAGGTAGTACATTCACATCTATTGATCTAATTCATTTAATATGACCATGTTCTAGATATTTCAAGCGGATGCTCTTTTTCTTTTCATCCCATCCGTTCTACACATCGCAAGTTAAGTTTCCTAACGAAAATACACCAATCTCCGCAATGATACATGACAACCCGTCATTCCGGTTCTTTGATCGATGCATCGGTGCCATAGATGGCACCCACATCCGTGCATTCGCATCACTCGACGACCATGTCGTCCTGCGCAACCGAAAGGGATTCTTGTCCCAGAACTGTCTGTTCATCTGCGATTTCCAGTTTCGCTTTACATATTCTCTCTGTGGCTGGGATGGCTCAGTCGCTGACGCATCACTCTGGAATGACGCACGCAAAACCGACTTATACATGCCTGCAGGGAAATATCTTCTCGCAGATGCCGGTTTTGGCACTTGTGACGCACTACTGATCCCTTATCGAGGCGTGCGCTATCATCTGAAGGAGTGGCGTCAGGCGAACCTTGCGTGAGTTTTCTCTGAGTCTCCTTAGTACTTAGTGTGATTAAATTATATGTACAGGCCCAGAGATCCTAAAGAGCTATTCAATCTACGACATGCTTCGCTACGCAACGTTATTGAACGTATTTTCGGAGTCCTGAAGCGTCAGTGGCGGATTTTACAGGTTGCGCCAGAATACAGCATGGAGATTCAAGCACGGATCCCAGCAGCGCTTTGCGCTATCCACAACTTCATTCGCCAGCACGATCCCGACTTCTTCGACCCCGAGGAGGATTATGATCTCGCGGAGAATGATGATACTCATGGTGCGGTATTGGGCACACTTTCAGAAGGACAGCCAGATGCTGGGGAGAGAAGGGAGGCAGACAACCGTCGAGATGGAATCGCTGCAGCGATGTGGACCGATTATCTTGCGGAGCGCGCACGTCGGGGGCTGCTGTAACTGTAGAATAGCCTGCTATACAGTTTTCATAGGGATCGAAGTTCAAAGTACTAGTACGTAGTACACAACAGTCTATCATGTAATTTGGTAAACGACAATGAATGTATCATGCATATCCACACAGCTGGCGCCGCTTCTGCTCCAACCAGGCACGTCTTGTCTGCTCATTTAATGAGCAGAAAAGGACCGCCTGGCTCTCATGATCCGCTAAATAGTTAGCGATAGCCAGCTGCTCTTCAACACTTTCAAAAAGATCGCTGTTAGCATATTGGTTGAGGAGGGCGATAGCCTGCACGAGCCCGGCCATTGAAACTTGCTGGGGTGGTGATGGTAACTGCTGGGGGGCTGACAGCCCCATGTTCTTCTGCATCTCACGAACTACAGTGACAAGATCCTTCATACTTTCCGCGCCTTCCTGCTGAACTTTCAGCGTTGCAGATGGAGGACGACTCCGTTTCGAGTGACTGGAGCCTGCAGCGCTTTCAGGAGAGAGTGCGCTATATTTGCGCTTTGCTCCACTAGTATCGCTGACACTTGTCCATGCTCCCACTGAGGAGCCAGCAGAGTGAGAAAGATAGGTGGATGGGACAGATGGTGAGATGGATTCCGGATCCATACCCTGACTTGAATTTGCACTGGCCAGTAAGCCTGTGTCTGGAGTGCGCATGGTGGTGAAATTACGGTTAGGGGTCTGGGGGACGATAAAGCCAGTGGTGGTAGATGTGGTGGGACTTGGTGTGGGATTCAAGTTGAGGGCGGCACTAGTACTGGTGGAATGGGGTCGGAAGACGTATTTGCCTTTCCCCTGACTAGAAACCAGCTGCTCCATAAGGGCGAGGTGGGAGAATCCTTTGTTCCTGAAGGGCTTTGCGGTGGGATGGTGCTGCCAAAAGAGATGACATTGAGTACATGTATTAGAGCTCCTTTGTACGATACTCACCTTGATGTATCTGACCCAGACGTCATCATCTTTCAATGCAATACCTGCCCCATTTTCATCACTCCATGTGAATCCCGATGTATTCTTGATATCAACTACAGCATTATACAATGTTTTCAACTAGAAAGATATTGCACTGATGTTAGTGCCAGCGCCGATAAGAAATTTGAGTTCTTTTATGTAAACATACCGATGTCCATTTGTTCTTGCACACTGTCCCAGTCTTTACTGCACCCCTTTGATCAGGGAATTTCTTCTTCAGATCTTCTGCTGCTGCATTGAAAGCAGGTGCCTTGAAGCCACCATCACCTGAGGAAGAAAGAGCGCCCAGAAGAGACTCAAGCAATGCTGTTTCCTCCTCCTTTGTCCAGATCGCAGCAGCCCTGCGGGATGTGCCAGTCCCCTCAGCTTTCTTATCAGCAGGACCTTGAGACCGAAGGGAGCGTGTAGAACCAGTACCAGACTTATCAGACATTGTGATGGAATTAGTGTGCCACTCGACACGGTGAACCCGAGGTTCACAGCTGGCTTACGTGTAGTGTCACATGATGGTCGAATTTTGAATTGAATTATAATATTCGCTGTCCAAACAGGACCTAAGCCTATTAAACTTGGTGACAACTAACACAGCTGGCAGCATTATATAAATCGCGCCCCAAATGCCCATTTTACCTCACAGCTTTCCTCCGTACCCCGCCCCAAAGAGTAAACCGTGTTCGGCCATAGGTCGCTGAAAGTGTCAATGGATCACCTCGAACTCTTTTTCATCATAATCAGGATATTTTTCATCGCGATCCTCATGGTTCCTTTCCTTTTCCTTCATGCCACTCGTGCTTTAGTAACACCTATATTTCCCATAACACGCATGTCCTGTCCATATTTTCAGTGAATCAATTCATTCAAAGTCATCGAACAAAGTATACCGAACACTCTCAACTTCTTGTCATCTTCCATCCTTGTCATCTGTATTCCCCTTCGAACTCATCAGCATTCGAGCAATACACGTTGCATCTGCTCTACACAGGGACCGGCCTCATTGATGACAGTTAGTTTGGAGCAATCCTTTCGCTCACTGAATATTGGTGGTCTGAGTTGCATTGAGGACCAGGGTTCGAAGATCTCGACTGGACTCATACATGCGACGCATTGCCTAGATACTTAGCTTACAAATTGCGTTGGTGATATCATCGCGTCATCCAATATTTCCTAAGTGCTGTCGTGACTTACCTTTCAATATTGGAGTTAGATTCGTCGACCTGGGAGACACGTGTTCGAAGTGTCACCTCCTTGCGGAATCAGATATCATGATGTTGAACGTCGCCAATCGAGGTGACTGTTGCTATTTCGCGCGCGTGCCGTCACCATACATGAAATAAGCAACACGAATTTGCTGCGTAAAGGCCCTCTCTCCTCAGGGATTTTTACTCCCGTTGTATGACAGCTAAGAGCCCAAGACCTCCGAGAAGTGCGTATTTAAGTTGTGGGAAATCATTCTATGTAACACGATCAGCGTTATTGGGCATGAACAAGATATGCATGCTTACCATGGCAATCGTCACGTAGCCGATGTACGGAAGAAACCTGGGGATGAAGTGTGAGTGAAGTAGAAGTGTGGTTAGAAGATTGAGTAAGAAAAGAGACGTATCAGGCTGCGCAAGTTTTGCCTCGAAACAGGAAGGAAAAAAAAAATGTGAAAAACACATACCCGCGAACTTTGCCAATGATATGTCTTCGGTCGAGCCATTCAAGGCCCCGGTAGAGGTCGATGTCATCGACATGATTGTTGTCGCCTTTGGTGAGCATCAATTGATGTTCCCCGGGAGGTAGTTTGAGTTTGGCCAGTCTGGGGCAGGGTATAGTTGTAGTTAGTCATCGGATTTCATCGACTTGACCCCCGCAACAAACCACGTACGGCATACTGAAGATACTCACTTGTTGTTGACGATGCGGTTCTCCGTAGAATTGTCAAATGGGATGAAAATATCCCGGGTCTCCAGGACGCGGTGCACGATGGGTATTTCGGCGCCAGGGATCCTGTATACTGTTATATCACCCGTATGGTAGCGTTGGCCTGGGGGGTTCGTAAGAAAAAGAAGGTCGCCACGGTAAAACGCCGGTTCCATTGAGCCACTGTAGATATAATATGCGGGATCCAGTTTAGGGTGGAGAGAAATGGAGGTCTCAGGTTGAATACCTGATTGAGCGAGGATGATACACACCTGAGGACAACGACAATTGGAGATTCTGTGTTCAGAATCAGGCCAAGGCCTTTCCATAGCATGAGGCCAGATGCAATGACAGAGGCGAAGTTGAGAATTTGGAGCAGAAACTGAAGGAATAGAGAATGATAGAAGCATATGGGGTCACGTCAAGGACACGTCGGCACAAATGAAACAAAAGAAAAGTCAGTATTCTGCAGAGTGATTAAAAACGCTGGGACGCACGTGTCGGAATCCTAGTCGACGGAACGTCTTGAGCTCATCTGAGAACATCGGGAATAGAAAACGACTGGACGAATGATAACTTTATGGTGGACGACTCGTAACTGGTCTTTACTTAGTACTAAGTCTGAGATATATTAAGTACTAAGTGGTTGGGCTTGTCCGTGGTTATATAAGCTGGTCACGAGCCTAATGGTAGGCGATACTTAATAATTATTAATATGCAAAATGATACTTGATGGCACGCCGCTCTGAGGTCATACTTAGGACACCTTACGACTATGATGACCGGTACAAATGTTAACGTTCACACTTGCCGTACAACAACTGCATATGTAACTACTATTTTTGAATCTCCCACCCTTCCCCTACCTCTATGTGACTATGTCCACCCCAGAGTATCACACACAACCTGTTGACGCTGGCATCCGAGCAAGCAAGTGAGTAGCGAGCTGGACTGGACTGAGTCTATATGTGTAACCCGTGTGGGCTTCAAGCCTGAAGGATGCAATCAAGCCCCACATAGCGAGCGAGGAACCTGCCACGCCTATCGAGGGAGGACCTGCTAAGGATGTGTAAGTATTGTTTAATGATTGGTACGCCAGGATAATGAGTCAGATATCTGACTATGTTGGATCAAAGGTTTAAAGCCGATGAACAGGTCCTCAACGCTGCTCAAGGGCTTCCTGTAGCTCAAGAACATGACAAAGGAGATGATTCAAAGTTTTGGACGATGTACGACCAAGTTTCGAAAGAGTACGACGATACCTTCCTCTCACGAGGGAATGGCGATATGAACATCATCTTAACTTTTGTGCAATCATTTATACACTTGCCTATGCAGATTCTAACAGGTGAACAAGGCTGGTTTATTCTCGGCCGTCAACTCTACCTTCATTGTCGGAATGCAGCCTAACCCGGGCGAAACTACCAATGTCCTCTTGCTACAGCTAATCCAAATCGCAGCTGCCCCAAATGTTGTGCATGATATCAGCAATCTTTCCTTGTCCACGGGGTATCCTTCTTCCACTGTCTGGATGCAAGCACTCGCATATGCCAGTCTCGCGTTTAGCGTCTTGGCGGTGTTTGGGGCTGTGATGGGAAAGCAATGGCTCAACACTTATAAGGCAGCTCGCGGGCAGGGGTCTCTGGAGGAACGCTGCATGCAGAGGCAGAAGAAACTGGATGGGCTGGAGCGTTTTCACCTTCAGACCGTCTTGCAGACGTTCCTCATCCTCCTCCAGATCTCGCTACTGCTGTTTGGTTTGTCCCTCTGCGCCAACGTGTGGATCCAGCAAAAGACGATATCTTGCGTCATTATCTGCACCATGGCGTTTGGTATCTTTTTCTATGCAAGTACCATCCTCTTGTCAAGGTTGTATCCAGATAGTCCTTTCCAAACCCCGGGATCTGAGATAGTGGGAGCTATCTACAAAAAATCCCTAGCTGTCTGCGAGCATTTCCTTCCATATAGATGGGACATATCCAACACATGGGACACGTCGACTATGACTCCTGATGACACACCCATCAAATTGTCCGCTATACGCTGGATATTAAACATATCTACGAACCTGGAATTCTTCAAGGCTGCAGCTGGGATGGTACCTCACGTGCAATGGCCGCAAGATTTCGATACTTCCGCAATCTATACATGCTTCCGTGATAACTTTGAGGCGTGTCTTGACATGGAGGAAGCATTTGTGAAGTATGTTAGAGCCATGGCCCATTTTTGCAGCCAGTCGCTGGAAATCCCTCGATACCTTCGTTGGAAACCCAGACATACCCAAGATTATTGGGGAGGCAAGAGCCGTTTTATTCGCGATGCGTTCATGGACAGCCGTAACGCCTGCCTGCAGTTCATGAGTACACAACAAGAGGACATTCGACAGAAGCACCAGGCTGACGCACGCACCGCTCTCAGAACGATGGTTGTCCATGGGCGTTCCGATTGGTTTTCACTTCCGGACGATGAGCGCTTGATTTGGTTTGGTGATCTGCGCTGGTGCCACAGTGACGGACACATACCCAGCTGTGGAGAGTTTGACTGGCTCATCAGTTACCTAGCAGGTGAAGCAGGTCACAAAGGAGACGATGAAACAGAAGGTGATGCTCTGCTCGCACTGAGTGCCATGCATGGACTAGGGAGCTCTTTCAAGCGACGTTCCTACATCACGGCGCTTATCCACTGTATGGGCCCCACCAGACCTCACCGCGTCCGGCATGCTGTGCTGAGAGCTGTTTCTGACGCTCGAGCAGACCTGGCTTCTATTACAAGTGGCTCGATGCCACAGGGTGTGGATGCAGGACTCCTAGATGAACTTTCTCGCGCTCTTTTCACTGTCGTATGTCCAAATGATGACCAGCCAATCCACGACAATAGTCATCCCAATGCCTCTTTCCACTACACTCGAGACTGCTGCTACGCCCGCCTCATATTTGCCTTGGCAATGAACGATGAGTGGCATGAACGTCTGACCCGCGATGGACATCTCACGCGGTGCACTTCTCTAGTCAATCAAGCCCTTGAACACGGGCCATGGGTTCTCAGATGCTACCTTGCCGGAATCTTCGCATTTACTGATCCCTCAGACAAGGCTCTTCCTCTTAGCCCTGTCCAAAAGAAGTGGCGGTCATGCATCCGGACAATGTGGAGAGAGCTACCGACATCCTTCTCGATTGACGTACTGCCAGACCTCGTGACAGTGACTAGGCAGCATCTGCAAGGGGATAACGGTGTTCTGGACAATGAGCTGTTGGATCTCGCAGATTCTTGCTAGAGATGTGCATCAGGCTGTGGAATCGTTGGAGTGGAAACAGGCAGCATGGGCGTGTCTGGGGATATGTTCACAGGCTGACTTTGATGCTGTGCTACGCATCGTGCAGGCCTTGGATGTTGAACTTCGTCAGGTGATTGAGAGCTCAGAGACTTCGCAAGGGGACAGCGGTCCAGGCTCTTCTGGGTCTTGAAGGACATGATTGTTACTGGTTGTACTTATATTATGTGTTTGTTACGCAGCTGCATGACATTGAATTGGTACCCACCGTATCCTCTACTTATGATATGTGATTTTCCGCTGGGGTTGACGCATTTCTTCCTTCAAGTTGCACGTGTTGTATAGTGTACTACTTTTCTTGGATTGACTTTTGTAACGCAGACTGCTTAGCAGGTTTCGGCCGGTGCTTTCTTAATGTCGAGTTGCCATCAGTTGTCTCGATTCTCGAACCAGACGCTCTATGTCCCAAGTTCCAAATGGCAAATTCTTCCGAAGGTGCAGTGTTGTTTTCAACTCCGCTTGTAAGTTAGCCGCTTCAGGCCCATCTGAAATTCGGGTACTCATTAATGTTCACCACCGTAGTTGCATGATCACCTTATAGTTCTGGAACTTCTAGAGCAATATTAATGGCCCCGCCCCAAACGGCCATCAAACTGATCACTTCCAGCACGAACTTCCCCACTATTTTTCATCTGTTTCATATCCTCGAGCCCCAGGCCCCCAGCCCATTGTCTTGTACGAACACGCTGATAGAAGTTGCACCTGGAGCGACGACACAAACACGTGCCTACTGGCAGCGGGCATGCCGCGTTTCACTTTACTATCATCATTATCCGTGCATCGCACATCATGAGTACCTGTCCGGAATGACCGGGACCCGCGACGTCAATGGAAAATGCTCAGAAAGAGTCAAACTCATGGTTATACTTGCATCTTCTTCGCATTGGAGGCCGTTAGACTTTAGTACCTGAGATGGATATGTAGGTTTTGTCCATCCATTCAGCATGCAAATGTCAATGAGCAGTGCGATCTTTGCCCAATGCCGGGCGATGACTTTGATAACGTCTTCGATGGTCTGACACATTCACAGGCTATCCATGCAGTGATTGGTTGCACGTTCGAAGCCCGGCGCCCATCGCTGAAGCGCTCGTAGTTGGTCAAGCCACTGTTGCGCCATGGGGTTACAAGAAGTCAGGAAGCGCGTATGGTTCAGTAGTATTGGCGGCCGCACGCCAGAATTTGAGGATACCTGGTGGTTAAACCCAATTCGTCTAGGACATGCTGCCCCCTCTCGGACCGGTTGTGTATTGGGGTTGTTTCAAAATATTGAAGTTGTTCTCGAACTCCAAAAGTAACTAGATTTAGACGGCTTAGCGCCCTTTGGTTCCCTCTTTTTGTTCTTCCCATGAGAATGCCACATGTCTCCTTCATTTCGTTGTTCTTTTTCTTATCTCGAGCGTTTCAATCGGCCCTCCAAGTCGAAGGTTTTATGTGACTCGTGACGTACTGATCGAGAATGACGATAGCTGAGGAACATCGAAGAAGCCGCAGAAGAAACGTTATATATTGCAACGGACGGGATTTTGCCATATTGGCAGGGCCGTGCTTGGGCTGAAATAAATCTTTTATATCTCCCCGCTGTACGCCCCATCGCCTTTCTTTCTGCTTTCTCCTCCATGACAATTGCACTCTCGTCGGCTTTTGAAGTTCACTGATATATCTTCCAGTCATCATTCCTCCTTCAGAATCCCCGTTCAATTAATCAGCGCCTTTTTGTCGGCCCCGGGCCCGCATTTCGGTTAAAATTCTTGGCAATTGTAAGCATTTTAGTTTTGAATACGCGCCTGACATAAAGCTCTCATTCACCGGCTTGTCTTTTTGTACAGTCGTTCGCCCTCATCATGACTGGCATCCCAACTCCACAACGCTCGCGAACCAGGACGGCAGATCTCTCAGACATCTTCCGCAGCTCCCATGGTTCGCGTCAGCTTTCCAAAACTGGCGCTCTTACAGACACTCCATCTGAAGAAAAGCCCAAGTCTAGGCGCTCTATGCTGCCCTTCCTCGGAAGGAAGAAGACCGAGCGACCATTCGCTTCATCTTCAGCTTTGCCTAGAAAGTCTACCAACTCTCCTTCGGGATCCGGCAAAGAGTGAGTTTTTCGTCTGGTTTAGGTTGGTGATCGAACGTGTCGTTCAGTCAAGGAACGATCTCTCGTTGATGGGCCAAACGGGGATGAGTTGGTAACTTATGGTCTACAATGTCGGCATATATGCTTATATATCTGCTCATCGTACCCATCCGACTAAACATAGAAACAAGACGTATAGTCACAGTCCTGACTGTACATTCACTTTTTTTGCCAAAATCATTGCTTGCTTTTTATGAAATACTGATCGCATATCGCTGTAGGCTCTTGACAACTGTAGATGGTTCTCCGTCCGACAAACGGCTTCCTTCTACCCTTCCTCCATTGAACGTGTCACCGCCGTCATTGGGCTCCAAATTTGCCGCCCATTTCTCTCCTTTGCGATCTCCTAGCAAAACTCTCAAGGCACGATACTCTTCATCGTACAAGTCAACAAACACCCCTCCCACTCATTCATCCGCCACTCTCTCCCTCCCTGTAGCTGATTATCATGCTACTTCCCTCGAATCCCACAGCTCCAGCACTGTAAACAGCCGATCCACCACACCAAAACCGCTTGTTCAACCCCCTACAGAGAACGCTCCTTACTACGAACTGATGGATGATTTTTCTGATTTGTTTACACTTCCAGAGCATCCTTCGAAACCGACCAAGTCTGCTCAAAAAGCTTCTACCCTGCCACCCGTTGTTGTCAACGCTGCGAACGGTTCAAAAAAGTGTGCGGAACCCAGTTTTGCTACACCATTGACACCCGCTAGTCCCACTCCTCCATCAACCCCTCGCCTTCAATTCCCCATCCCTCCTTCGAATTTTGGCCTCACTTCGATGGCGAGCGAGAAGTCATCTTCTCGATATTCGCAGGGATCATCTAAAACAGAGCCAACCACTCCTTCAAGCAAACACTCTAATAGCAGCCTTAAGCTGCCAACCACGAGCCCTCAACATCGCTTCTCGATCTCTCGTGAACGTCGGAGCGACCGCATTGGTACCGCTGGCTTTCCTTCTGAAGATGAAAGCGATCGTGCTCGCGCATTCAGTCTTTCGGGAAGCGATACAGATGCGTCTCGTGCTACAGACAGCAGTGTGCGTAGCAGGAGAGGTAGACATCACAGCGCATTGCCGAAGGCATCGGCTATGAAGCGTCCCGCCCCTTTGCAGCGTGCGCCCTCTTCCTCAGAAAAATTATCCAGCGGCCCTCCTCCTTCTGCCCCCCTACCTTCGCCACCGCCCTCAGCTCGGTTAGCACCCAGGCTACCGATAAGCTCGTTGCCAGTTACCCCTACCGACAATGTTCCCTTCAACTCGACTGTCCACTCCCCGGGTATAGCGCCACGACCGCGAGCTAACACTGTATCAGCAGCGACCTCGCTGAGTTCGGCTAGGCTTGCGGCGTGGATGGCTCCTAGACCGAGCCCACAAAACAAACACGCCCCTGCAGATCCTCAGCTACTCGCATCCGAGGATGACCTCAGGAATGCGCTTGCCTTGCAGAATAGAAAGTACGCTCAACTTCAAGAATATGCTGTCACTATAACCAAGAAATTTGAGGACGAAAAGGCATCTATGTCCAAGACCATTCAGATGCTGGAGCGAGAGATCCGAAAAAAGGTCAGAGAGATAGAGGGTTTGCGCTGGCTCGTCATACATAATGGTGGTGCAGAAGATATTGATGCGGCGGAGAGCCTGGCACGAGCTTCTTTGATCACGTTGGATGATGGAAATGCATCCGACGCTGCGTGGGCCATGGGTGGTGAGGCTCCGTCCCAGAGCGCACGTCCACCGACAACAAACGCGTCTGTTGGCTCTCGTAGAGGACTTGGCCTTGATTATCTGGACCAATCTAGCCCGTCTGGGGCATCCCTGGATCCATCTTTTCCAGAACTTGGCATTGTTGCCTCTGCCTCGTCTTCGCACTCTTCTCTGTGTCTTCCGATGCTGGCTTCATCGACGACCTCATCTTTATCAGCCATCCCAGAACAGCAGGGAGAGACCAGCCGAGTGGAACGTCAACAGACGAAAGAAGAACGGCGCGCTTCTCGGGCCCTACGTCGGATCTCATCGTCATCGATGTCGTCAGTGACATCTGGAGCACTTATGGCACATCCTCTGCCGATCGATCACACGCTCGACCCTCAGTCTAGCATGGAAAACGTACTGGAGAAGCTGCGTCCGTTTCGAAACACTTGATCCGGCCAATCTTTATGGTATGTACGATATCATAACGTATTTTATTTATGGAATCCCTGACGGATCATATCTAGCAGCTCGCCTGCTTGCCATTGCATGATCGCATCAACTATTCGCGCTTTCAAACCGCGGAGACGCCTTCGACACCTTCCCGTTCCTTCCCAACTGCTTAGTTAATTCACCTCACTTCATGGACTTATTCGCATCACCGCAATTTACAACTCCAAGTCTACATTTCATCTGCCAGGACGTCCAGGAAAGTTGGATACCTCGCATCGTCGTTCACTCATTCATATTCGCATTTGCATTTGCATCCTTGGTATATCATTTGATATCTACCACAGTCGTTATCGTCACAATTCTTTCCTTTACATACCTCTGATCAGCATAAGCTCATACCATCTCTTCGGTCGTGCACCACAACTTATTTATTTGAAGGGCATAATGGAAGCCAAAATAATTATTTTGCTTGGTCAGAAGCCGTTATGAACGCCGTCGCCCTTCCGAAAGGTATATGTATCTATTCCTATCGCATAAGATTGCAGGCGTCGTTTCCATCGTAAGTAGCTGCTATAATTGAATACGTGAGTACCGTAGATTCAGAGCCCGATAAGTGTACCTGTGATACTTCGCATAACGTTCCTATCGCTTGATTCGCTTCCTAGGATGTCGCATCCGGGGTGAGGTGAGCCGTACAGCCGAACTGAGGCTGGCGACTACCGGTATTTGATTGAAGGATCAAACCTGCCGTTAGATGGTTAACGTTCCAGGACTCGGATAAGGTTGAGAGACATGCGGGGCATTATGTCATGCCAAAATTCGGTGTCCAATCGGATATAATAATTCAAAAATAAAACTGCAGAAGTGTTGATTGCGGCCGTAGATCTGAGGAGATGGTGTGTCGCTAGTACTGGGCTTCAAAGGCTGTGGTAGCGGGTCGTATGCGTTTACGATCACTGCCACAATTTGATCTTGAAGGCGGTGAGATACAGGCTCAGTTGGTGGTGCAGATTCAACTCGAGTGACCTGGGAAATAAAAGAGATCAACCGGGAGATGGGGACTGTGCCTTGTATGATGAAAGAGAATGCGTACAGCGCGTGGAGAGCCAAGCTGACATGGAACTAGACCTTCTCATTCGTCCTATCAAATGTGCCTGTGCTACATATAAATCGTCTGACCGCCGGCGCTCATAAAACCGCGAATTCTCATGGTCATAGATAGACGGGTCGTAGTACGGCGTAGTAGTGTCACACGATTTACGCACACTCGCAGATGGGATATAGATGATTACACCGGGTTCAAGTTTCAGAAGCTGTGTTAGATGATCAAGGAGGCCATGCAAAGCAGGCGACATAATGTGATCCCCAGACAAACAAATAGGGACAAACATTTATGCCTTGATGCTTTGATGTGCAGGTTGCTATGAATGCCGGAATGTACACAAATGTACCAGCGTTCCTTTTACTCCACCTACATCTTTCTTGTCCCCACAAGCGTGATTCAGCGCACCCGTTCCTACAATTCGTAGAGTCTAATCTTGTTTAGGCTCATAGTATATCTACCGGTCGCGACACCCCCTTGGCAGTCTAACCTGGAGGCCATATAGAACGGGGGAGGATGATCCTCACAAATTTCATGCGAAAGAATATGAAACGGAGGGCGAAGGTGACAAAATCTTCTGGCATAGTACCTCCTCCACCGCCGCACCAGTCGCCTACCTCACCTCCACCCGCTCCTCCAGAAGAGATCTTCGATATCCATGAGAAGTCACCCAATTCTGGGATGACAGAAGATCCACCCTCAGACAGAGATTCGTCTATCGATCATAGACCTTCTACATCCGTTTCTTGCACCCGACCAAATGTGGGATCTTTGGTCCAGTTGGACTACAACCCAGAGCCTCTGGACAACTGGTTTCCGCAGGAGCTGTTGAACGGAAGGCTTTGTTCCCATGGTTCTACATGGAGCCTTCCTATGGACCCACTGCAAGAATCACCGATAGCTGAAACTGCCGGCCTGGATACTGTGAAGGAGGATGTAAGCCCGGGTTCTAGTACATTCCAAGTGCGTCTTCAACACGTTCGCCATTCCAAAATCTCACTATGACACTAGGAGGCCGTCACCGCTAATATATCTCACTCTCGGCAGCTATCTGATCGCATGGTACGTCTTTTGACTGCATGTCGGTCGTTGCGGCAGGAAATTACGTTCCGTTTCACTTCGACAGAGTTCCAGAGAGAAACATATGAGCTGATCATACTCTTAGGCACATTCCGCTTCGAAGAAGTCGATCCCTGCCCCCATCTTTATACCAGAAGTTGAAACTGCTCCTACCGAAGCTCCGACTAGGCGGTCAACAGTGGGTGTCGAATCTTTGGGGACGAATCAGCAGCCGGTTTCGAATACCTCCCCTCCATCCCCCATGGATTCGGAAAATATGTCCGCTATATCCGGTACCACACTTGCTCGTGCCCTTATCGGAAACTCGTTCATTTTATCGTCGAGTGATCGAGGATCGCGATACCGCAGTGGCATGACGCGTCAAGATTCAGCCACTCTTCCTGGTTACGACCATCTATTCATGGAGGTCGCGCTTGCACATGACTCGAGTCGTGACTCAACTGTATCCCATGTGCCTCCCCTGCCTCCAGGCTCAGGAGTACTCCTGCTGGATCAGGCGAGAAAGTCCGTCGTCCAAGATAAAGAACAAAAGTCTCCACATACCAGCGCATCCACCACGGCGTCCCCACCCTTTGGAGCTTGCTATGTGTCTCCTGATATCATCATGCATTCAGGGCTATCCAGACGCATTTCTCGAATATCAGAGGTTCCTTCTCCCGTGCCAACAACACCAATGTCGCCAGAGTCAATTCGCGATGCTCAGCCAATGAAAAGTGGTAGCTCTATAGCTGCAAGCAGTATGCTCGCAAGGATGGATGAGACTGATTCGGACGTTCCAAACACTGCTTCTCACACGCCCGCAACGGCTTCATCATACCCATCATTGCATCAAACGGGAACGGGCGTGTCAAGCGCTTCTGCCCAATCATCAGAATTTATCCCTTCTAGTCCAACAGATGGTTTAGATGGATATCACTTTGTTGATCCTGAGCCGTCACAGCCTGTTACATCCATTAGTTCTGATGCCAATGCTCTGCAGACGAAATCCAGTGATGCTAGCCTTCGGAAGCGCAGAGTGAGAGCACAGGGAGTAACGCCATCATTGAGGGGTGGGAGAAGTAAGCGTCTACGTGTTTTTTTTCCCAGTTGCCATTCAACGTTCTTTAGGTTTCAAGATGTCGGATGGACGGCCGAGCAGCATTTTTCAACGCAATAAAAAACAGATCAGGCTTCCCATCGGCGAACGCCCTCGTTCAATCCTTGTCCCACAAACACCAATCACTCCTGCATTGATTGCCTCTGCTATCGCGCAGTGTCCCACAGCGCTATCCCAGTTCCCTCTGGTACCTACTTCTGCAGTTCCTGCTGGCCATGTCGAGATGCCATTGACAGCCTTTGCAGAGTCGGACATTCCTAACACTAGCCCGCTCTCCGGTACAGGGATCTTTGCACAAAGTCAGCGTGCGGAACGCGCTCTTGGACGCGTAACTGCCAGCCAGGAGTATGACCTCCTAGATTACGCTATCAATGTGAGCCCCGATTCGCAGAGTTCATCGACTTACCCCTCCTCGAGCGCTTCCACTGGGGAACAGACCTTCCCCGAGACTCCAAACATCTTCACTCCATTATTTTCGCCTAGCTTTCCTGTCCCCATAACAGCACTCCAGCTTCCTGGACGCCCTCAGGCGCCTAGATCGGCGACCCATCCTATACCACAAGTTTTCGTTGGCACAGGCGCGTTGTCTCGGGCGAGGACACTGAGTGTTGCACTACGAGAAGAGGATTCAGTGGGAGATAATAGTTTTCTTACCCTTTGCAGGCCGGTGTCTACCGCGTCATCGTCGACACCTTCGTCGGAACCTTGTCCCCCAGAGATCACTTCGGATACTGCACCCGCTCCAGCGTCCTCCCTTACAGGGCAGAAGGCCCAAACAGCTGACCAGAATATTAAAGTCGCAATACAGCTACAATCATCCCCTGTTGACCCCGTTATGTGTTCTCCAGTCCATCGTATATCCACAGGCAGCGATAGGCTTCAAGAGGACGAAGTTTTGCAAGCGCTTGTATCCAATTTTGCATTATCAATCCCTTCGATCATTTCCCCAAATTTATTCACATCTACAACGCAATCACATTCTCTGGTCGAGAAGCCTTCGTTGTCCTCAACATCTGTGCCCCTCCCAGAATCCAAAAATGCATCACCCTCCCTTCCATATACCAGCTCTGGAAGCATGTCTTCATTAACCTCGCCATCCAATCCACCAGGTACTAACTTATCATCATTCGGTCCTAATCTTCAACCTTCTAGCCCTAATTTATCCAGTCCTGCCGTATTACCACCGAACTGCCCTCCGTTCCTCAGCCCCCAGCCGCAAGCGGCATTTTCAAGGGGCATATCCTCAGCTTCCGATCCTTTATCGCAACGCCCTAAATCTGATTTTCATGTCGCTGGTACCTCATTTTTACCCTCAGTTTCGCCGCCCCCTCCCCCTACTCCTCCAAGGAGTCCGTTGCCACCATCATCTGTCAATTCATCACCGTTGTTGACGCCTTCATTCGTAGCTCCTCCCTCATATCACAGTGCGATTTCAAATGAGAATGATATGCCTCTGGCAACAAGCACTAGTGGCGGTGCATCGTCGCAGGAGACCGGCTCAGATATGAATTTCGTCGTCCGTCCACCGTCCATTTCTGCTACCCCTAGCCCGCCTTCCAACATCAGGAGTCGAACTAGGGCTCGACCACCATTGCCAATCGGTCCACGCAAACCTAGCGGTCCTGGTCAACCACTTGGGTCATTTGTACCCTGGATCAGGGAGCGTGGCGGATCTGTGTCATCTGTGGGCAGTGGCTATGCTCATGGTTCCGCATCAGGCTACGCATGGCGCAAACTGACTGCTGCTGCTTCGACGCCGGCGCCGAAATTCCAGACACCACCCCCGAAGTGGCGAGGGATGACCTTGGAGGCGGCTCGGTGGACGCTTACGCGGGATGAGCTTCAAACGATCGTCTCAAGAGCCATCAAGCAGTCTGCGGAAGCCTCATCAATACGTCTTCTTAGGACAGAGACGTTGGATGTAGACATTCCTGAGGAAGTCCATCGCCTTGAGATGCAGCACACCGACGTTAAAATGAGGTACAAGATGCTCGTCCGCAAGCGGTGGCAGCTCATGGGCACCCTCGCTGGACATCTGGATGGTCCAGACATGTGCGATTCTATGACTGCTGCACGCACCGTGGAGGAGCTTTCTGAAGTCTCCAGTGCTCTTGACCGGCTCACTGACGAGCTCCATACTATTGTCGAGCAGCTAGGTCAACTGAAAAGTTTACGCGTTGTTCACTCTGCCAGCGCACTTGCCATAGCTTTGAGGAAAGTCAATTCGATCTTCCTTAACCAGGTCTCCGAATCCCAGAAACTTCGAGAACAGATGCACTCAATGGAGGCTGAAAGAGATGAGGCTTGGAAACAAGCAGAGGATGTCGCCCAAGATTTTGATAATCTTTCGGATCAGGTTCTAGAGAGCCGCAGAGAGCAAGTTGAAGGAACGGCAGCGTTAAGGCCGTCAAGTAGGCGATCTGCGCAAGTTTCGGCCTTTCGAAAGTCGAGCATACGTCTGTCTAAAGCAGGCTTGCGCTCCATCAGCAAAAGTCGAAGTCAGCGTTCTTCTGTCAGTAGCTCAGGTACGCGTACAAGCCTGGTGATGTCGATGTCTGCCACCTCAGACGACATCCCTCCGGTGCCGCCGCTACCTTTACACGCACCGCGTGGCATTGTCCCGTCAAACATGTCTGGTCGTAGCTCTCTAGGCAAGTTAACGTTCCATTTATATTCAGTTCTGTATCTCACGACATTTATCAATATAGGATCCACTTCGAACACGTCATTTTCTGGTGCTCGAGCCTTGGCGCAAGCTCAGAGAGAGTTGTACGAGATGTTGGGCCTGGCTCCTCAAGAGACTCCTAGCGAGTCATCTTCTAGGCCACGCTCTATGTCTGGGTTGCTTGGTTCTAGATGTGTGCCCCTTAGCACGAGACCAATGTCCGACATGATCGTCATACGACCTCGCGCTCAAGAAAATAGAGCCATACATAGTGTCCTCTATGACGACGTGTGCCTGTGAAACACTTTATGGATCATCGATACCCCTTCCCTTATGTCTTGATAGCGACAAATTATGTTGGCGCAGCTTGGCATGATGTTGAATCAATGCATAGATATTTATCTACCTTGATACGGACTTGGAATTATACATGGACTATTTACTAACGAGCTACATGCGTGGTACATGTTGTGCGTTGTACTTAGAATAATTTACGATTAATTCAGTCGCACTTCTGAATATTCATCAGATGGAGAGCAGTGCTGTCCATACTGATGGAGAGGCGTTCTATCCTCGGCATTTTCCGGAACCTTATCTCTCTAAACTATACAGCACTAAATTGGCTACTCACGTGCATGTAGTGTCGAAGTCCGTCATCGTCAAGCACCATGGGTAAAGGTAAGGCTGCTCTCGCTCGCAATCCGCACATGTTGACCGCTGTATCATGAACAGTTCACGGATCTCTCGCGCGTGCCGGTAAGGTTAAGTCGCAAACACCAAAGGTTGATAAGCAGGAGAAGAAGAAAACGCCAAAGGGCCGTGCTAAGAAGCGCATCTTGTACAACCGCAGGTATGTATCACTCCAGCCCTTCTGTAGTTCAAGCTAACTGGCCTGACAGATTCGTGAACGTAACAACGCTCCCTGGAGGCAAGCGGAGAATGTGAGTACCGAGTCCTTGATGATATCGATGAGCCGATCCTTCACACGCATTACTCTCCCATATTCTTTGTTGGTATTTCGAAGTACTAATGAACCGATCTTACTTCTAGGAACCCCAACCCCGAAAAATAAATACACTCGAGAGGCATTCTCTCCTTCGGCTGGAGGGCCGGCGGACTACTGTCATGATAGAAAAGGAGGACAGGAGCGCTCACTCAATCATCGTTTCGCAATACTCGCATCTTTTTATATCTCGTCTCCCTTTCCCCTTGAGTTGCAAGTGCAGCGCTTTCTGCATTTCAATTCCACCACGCGTCGTTGGATTTTGGCTTCGGTTGAGCATTCACTCAGCAAAAACTGTAATTCCTGCATCATTTCTATGCTACGATATGCGCTATGTCCAATCCAACACTATGACAGTTGTAAAATGGGTGCTGGTTACGCTGAGCGAGCGAACTTGAATTCAGGTATCGGAAAGACTAGCTATGGGCGCCGGCCATGGCCTTGCAAATACCTCTTCCTTGTCCCGATAAGTCTTGAAATTATTATATCGTAGATGAAGATCTCACGGTCATTGCACGAGAGGTACCATCCCAGTTGCAGCCTTGACAACTTCCGGGTTTGTTGATATTTCTAGTATTCAACGTATGGCAAACATTTTAATGAATATACCATCAGGAATCAAAGCCGATCTGTTCGGGAGGACTTTTCTGAAGATAGTTCCTATTGGTTTTGCTCCTGGTGCCTGGAAAGGTTGAAGAATATCCCGTCTACGAGTGAAGAGTGCTGTCATTCGTAACGTTCGGACCATCAGCAGTGGTCTGAATCAGATACAGCAAGAGGGCGTTTGTGTCTTTCGAGTTAGGCTGCATTCTTGATGATGAAGGTAGAGTTCACAGCCAAGAATAAACCAGCCTGGTTGCCTAACATATTTGTAGTGACAGGTCTAAGTGTCGCGTACCGAATAGTTGATACTTACACATTCTTAGCAGGACCTCCCTCGACAACCGCGGCGGCTTGCTCGCTCGCTATACGCAGCTCGATCGTATCCCTGTAAGTCCATATTAGGTTGAGATTTGCCATCGGTTGACCATTCAATTGCAAGGGAGACTTGAAGTGATGCTTGGGCAGCTTGGCACTTGCAAATGGTCGATTTTGAGACATCAGCAGATTCTTATGAGACCAGTTGATAGTAATCGGCTACATTTTGGTCTCTAACCCTACCTACAGTATAACAGTAAACAGCAAGATAAAGCCATGCCTGACAAGTCACAAATAAGTATAAAAACTCGAAAAATCCTGGATCGTTAATGACGAGCACGTTTTCTCCTGAAAATGATTTCAGTCAACGGGCTCTGTTCTCGAGGGGCTTCATCTCCGGGGGTATCAGCGTCACTGTTAGCTTCCATAGTTTCAACTCCACTCTTCTCTCCAGCATCCTCATCATCCTCATCTGTCCTCTGCCGTTTTCGTGTAGGTGGAGGGGTGATACCATTAGATACAGGAGGGACAGGTGGTGTCTTTGTCGGTGACCTGCCATATGTTGCTTGGGGACGAGAATGATTCCTCAGTGTGGCTTGTTCTTGTTCTTGTTCTTGTTCTTGCTCTTGCTCTTGCTCGTGCTCGTGCTCCGCCTGGACCTCCGGCCTAGCTTCGGGTTTTTGTTTTTCATTGGCTCCTTCCTGAACCCCAGCCTCTGGGTCACTTGTTTCAAGCTCCGACAAAGACGAGGTAGGAGACCGCTGGCGGCGTAGAGGACGCGGTTTCGGGCGTGGTTTCGGGGCAGGAGGTTCTTCCTCAGCTGGTTGAGGTTCTGGTTCACTTTCTGATTCGTCGCTAGTGACCATTGCTGCACTCTTTGCGCCTTTGGCCTTTCTACCTTTTGCACCACCTGGTAGAGAGGATAAATCGGGAAGCCTATTTCAAGCACGTAGTACGTACCTTTATCCTTCGCCATGATTGAAGACAACTTCTTCTCGTACGCTCGCTGGGGTTCCCAAATTTTGGATGATGGCGGAACCTCGATCTTAGCCTGAGCAAGAACTTGATCCATATGAGCTTTGCTAAGCCATTTTGTCAGTTAATCCCTCTTCCTTTCGAAGCACTTGCAACCTACATCTTTAAGGCGTCTCGGCTATCGACAGCAGCCAGAAGAGGTTGCAAGACCCTGAAGAACAAGATAGCTGTTTTGCGCCCCTTTTTATTCTTGGCAGCCTCATATGTGCCAATGCGCTTCACAATCCAAGTTAGGAGGTTCGTATGTGTTTGCACGATGTATTGGCTGTCAAGCTTCTTGATAATCGAGAGCTGTGCACCTCGGATCATGAAGCTCTGCCCGAGCTGCTTGGCGAGAGCGACCACATGGTCTTCCCCGCGAACAACAGAGTCAAGGACAAGTGTAAATGACTGGATGAAGTGTTGTTTAGCGACCGTCTGCAAACAAGACGCATAAGACATACCTCCTTCAGCGCTTGAGTAACAACATCAACCACAACATCGCCATTCTCCCGGTACATCCCTTCTTCGCGCAGAGAATCGATGATTACCTTCGTGCAAAGATCAAATGCAGGTCCAAGCCGTCCAAAATGTGCGAGTAGCACAGCACTATGTCTCACATGCACAGCGCCTGCGCGAATAGCCCTTAGGAACGTGGAAATCGTTCCCATGAACACATACTCTTGTTCGAGACGGGTGCGCGTCAGTGGCTGCTCTGCATGTCATGACCGAAAATCTCAGCGATCGACAAGAGTACCTGACACAAAGACTAACCTTTAATGGCAGGCGACTTGGCTTTGGTTTTGCCCTTCTTGCCCTTCGCAGGCACATTCTCCTCGCCTGAGCTCTCTCCGCTTTCACTTGCCTCTTCTTGCCCAGGCGCCTGTCCCTCTTCGAAAAGCTCAGCGTACTGCTCAATCGCGGCTTGGATGAATCCTGCACAGCGATACTGCACCTCGTCATCAAGCTCAAGTGGCAATGCAGCAGTCGGTAGCACACGTCCATCCGGCGTCGTTGTCTGTTCCGCGCAGAAAAGAATGTGCAATGTCATAAGATTCTGGAAGGCCTGGAAAGGTGTCAATATCTCCCGGATCGGAAAACTAGTGGAAGAGACATACTGCACGTTTAACAGCTTCGGCAGTATTCGACTGCGTGCCAACTGCGTATTCTACCAACTTCTCGAGCAGAGAGTCCCTTTGTTCGCGCAAAGTTTCCATATACTTCTCATCTTCTAGTGTCGCCTCCTTAGCGTCGGGCAAGCTCCGTGTCTTCCACATAATGTGTAGCCCGAGAACCTGCAGTCCCTGCTCGATCATCTACACCATTCTAATTAGCCATACTCTGACAAAGCACACAATAAAACTCACCCTCTCTTCTTCCCTATACCCCAACCGTCCCCGCTCTACGAGTGCAGCAATAATATCCCACACACAACTCTGCTTCCCACCCTCGCTCTCTTCCATCCATCCGCACATATCTCTCATCCCTATTAGTGCACACACTCGCGCGCACACAGCACCTAGCGCAAGCACCTCGTCCTCATTAAATCCGGCCACCTCGATCTCCTCGCGTCCGCCAACAGCATCACGGAGCTGCGCTGCAAGCTCGTCCTCGAGTTCCAGAATCTTTGTGCTGTTGGTGTTGCTGAGCGAGGGACAAGAGAGAAGGTGCATGATGCAGGCGACAGCAGAAGCGAGCACCGTTTGGGCAGAGTGGGAGAGAAATTGCTTAGTGATGTCGTCCCAGAGATTGGCGTAGGCCTGTTGATCACACGTGAGTATCGCCGAGCAGGCAAAGAAGTAAGAAGAGTGTCAGAGAACGAGAAGAGGAAATATTCGAGAGACTAGATAACCGAACAAAAGTGGATCAAAGGTGTCAAACACAACTCACAGTCATCATCCGCATCTCCAGATATAGTTCTATGTTCATTAAGGGTGGGATTAGCAACACATTTGCAATCCGGTTGGCGTCCGTCTGGTACTTGATGAATAACCTCGGTAGACCCTTAATCAGTGCACGAGTGAGATCTGATATCAGCGTCTCGTCCTCGCCCTGCAACCAATGAATCTTAGCCTTCAAGTCATACTCGACAACCAGAGGCACTCACCTTTTTCGCAGTGCCAGCGAGAGCTTTTGCTCTTTGGAGCGACGCAATGAGCACTTCTAGCAACACACTTTCCTCTGTCTCAGTCAGACGCCACGCCTCGTCTACGGTGTTTTTCGCAGAAGCAGCGATGGAGTCGTCTGCAGCATCCAAATCCTCCTCGCCCCCTCCGGCAGAGTGATCGAGCAGTAGCATCTCAAGAAGCCCCTCCCACCCGCTCGCAGAATCTACATCATCCCACAGAGCCTCCACAGCAAGCGCCGTACGCCCCTTGATGTCTGTACTCATAGCCACTCCTCTCTGTGAACCATCCTGGCTCCCATCCTCTTCTTCCACACGCTCGCGATCCCAACGCACAAGCAACATTGCCAGCGCCTTGGCGCCCGCTCGTTCCTTTCCTTTCTCGGCCACCTTGCGTCCCGCCAGCCGTTCCTCAACAAGTTCATTCCAGAGACCCCCAACAAATCCTGCCACCGCCTTCCTCACACGCACCTCGCCATCGAACACGAGCTGACACATCTGTTCTCGT